TGGAGTTAAAATAGGAAGATGAACAAATACAAATTTATTTCCAGATATAGCACTTCTCCAGCTGCTGAACAAGCCACTGAAAAAATCAGTGACAACAATCAAACAAAACATGAAGGAAAATTGTTTCTTTTCTAGATGGTTTTTCTAGACCAGAGTAGATCCAAAAATTGGGAATGATTTATGCAGGAAGTCAAGGCTGCATACTGGATTCATGGAGGAGGTAAATAACCAAGGGCTGAGAGCTAATGTGGTGAATGAAGTAGAATTTGGCAGATTATGCAGAAGAAGTTGATACTAACAAAGAAAAGGTTTATATGTCACCACTGCAATTTAAATATGACCTATGAAGTGTGCATGGCTGCATGCCTGACAATTTTTCATGAAGTTAAAATCTAGCTAATGAGATGTTGAGATCCAGTTTGGTGTAGTGATTGAGGCATCAGGCTAGAAACCAGAAGACCAGGAGGTCTAGTCCCGCCCTGGGCACAAAGTCAACTGGGTGACCCTGCGCTAGTCATTCTGTCTCAGCAGTAGGAAGGAGGCAATGGCAAAGCACTTCTGAAAAACCTTGCCAAGAAAACTGGGACTAGGCCAGGCAGTTGCCAGGAATCAACAGTAACTTGAAGGCACGAAAAGAAAAAGGAGAGATGTTTAGTGGACAGTAAGGGCAGGATTTACTTAGACGTACTCTGTCCACCCACCCTGCTCCCTATCAATTGCTTTTCAAAGTTGTTTTTAAAAGACCTCCATGAATAGAGTCAAGAGTTATTTCTGATGGTGGAACAGAAAAAAATACAGCTCTGTAGAAACCTGTTTATACACATACCGTGCCCCTTTCAGGATTAGGGTATACATTTTGTGTGGTTGATTCTGGTGTTAATTGGGGGCTGACAATTTTTTATATAAACTCTTCGTATTTAAGAGATACCAAATTTAATTCCCAGTATCTCTGGATAGGGCAAGAGAAGGTTCCCATCTGAAATTTTGGATAGCTGCTGCTTGTCAATAGTTGGTTCACTTTAAACCAGAGTTTCTCAACCTTAGCAACTTTAAGATGGGTGGACTTTAACTCCCAGAAATCCCCCACCAGCACGGCCTGGGGCGGGGTTTCCCGGTTTTGTGAGCATCCAAC